CTACCACTCAAGTGTTTTCAATTACCTTAAACGTAGTCTGGATCTAATCCAATGAATGTATTCAAATTTAGAGACAAAGACGAGTGAACTCTTACCAGGTAGTCATCCGGCCTGATGCCAAACAGTTCTCTGAAGTAGCGGAAGGCCACAGGAGCGTACGTTTTAAAGCGGAAATCCGGGAAATGATGGGCTGGAGTAAGGTTGCTCCCTTCACTAAAAGTTTAGGATAACAACATCCAGTCAATAAATTTAAAACATTCCACTCATTAGTGCACTAGAGGGCTTTAGTGGGTGTTTGGGTGTAACGGAAACCTGGGGAAAAAGATGCTCTCCACCACGTAAAAGTCCTGCATTAACACATCTCTTTCAGGCTTGGAGCTCAGGTTACCCACTGTGTAACCGATGCCCAGCTGGATGGCACCTTTCAAGGCTGATGATGTGGTCTGCAAAAGAGGGAGTGGAGGAGGCAAAAATTTAATTCTTCAGCTTCTTCTAAACCTCACAGGACAGTCTGAGATTGCTCTTTAGAAATGTTTCAGTAGAATCTAATGGTATCATCTATAAAGTGTACAAAGGAAATGAGTCTGCGTCATGTCATTTCATATTTCGGATTACCAGACAAACAGAAAATGAATATATTTCTTAGATAAATTAACCTCTGATAATAAAACTGACTGACAGAAACAGGGCAGGAAAACTCATTTTATAACACCTAGAGACATAGCACTATTCTTCAATAGCATATCAAAGGTCACTCTTAGAAACAGAAACTGTATAGTACACCTTCTTATAAGTAGTCTCCCCTGATGCGTCCACCCCTCTGTGTCCAATCTTCTTTCCTTGACCAGGCTGGCCTGAGGATGAGGCCATCTGATAAGAAGAAGAGAGAAGCAGACTATTATAATCCGGTCAGCAGTACTTGCACTTCTTTATGAACGGAGACCACATAAATATTAAAGAGTGGGAAGTGACAGAGAATCATTGAATGGCAGCAATTTCAACGTCTGATGTTTTTCATTTTGAAGCGATACACAGACTGTAGCTCAGCTAATGTAACGGAGCTGATGTAATGATTTTAGGATCTTATCCACCGCAAATAATTCTAGAGCCACTGTACGTAATGGTCCCTGAGCTTTTGGTTTAAACTGGTATTTAAGTAGATTTAAATAATCTGCACACTCCTATTAAACAAATTGGGCAATACTTAAGGGCTTGCTAAAATGCGCTGTATATAAAAGGGATTGATCAAATTAGGAGGATTAAAGAAGACTTATTATGCTTATTTCCAGCTTTGAGTTTGAGTCGCGGCTCAGAATAATTCCTGTTTATCTCATACTGGGCTTTAGTGCAACGCCTCACTTCTTCCACCGTCTTAAGGAAAACATCCCTTTATTCTAATTGGGTGCCCCTCCCGAACTAAACAACTTGAACAAAGTGCAGGCAGGGCTCTGTGCTGATGATCATATCTGCTCTCGCTGACACTGGAGAGAACAGCAGAATAAAAAAGGGCCATAAACCATGTTTTTAGAGAAGGGCGGAGTGAGCTTTTGCCTCACTAAGGGTTACTTATTCAAACTCAGGATAGTTTAAATGTAGCTGTATATATGTATGTAGAGAGCAAGAATACATGCTGATAAAATGTTGTGTCCTATAAATACAGACAAGAA